AGAGGGTCCTGGTGGACCCGGAGGTCCTGGCATAGGTATATATTGAACTCCCTCGCCTGCGGGTGCTGGTAAGCCCGGCGGTCCTGGCAAACCATCTCGACCGTCTTGGCCACGGTCCCCCTTATCACCTTTAACCTGTCGATAAAAATACATATTCATAAAATTGCGCAATTAAAGCACATTGCATGTTTAGCAAATAAGTAAATCAATTCACCGGAATTCTCTAGAGTATGTCGTTCAATTCGAAAATTATAATATAATTGTGAGACTACTTGCATGATTGCATGCGTAACCGCTGAATACAGTAAAGCCTAAATAGCTGTTATCGAAACAACGCCAATGCAGCTCAAACTCTTATTCTATACTTGGTTTTTAATTTTCAATTTCTCAACATTGAATACTAACGCAGTGCGTCGCCTTACTTTCTCTAAGATTTTGAATTGTTATTGTCGAATAAAAAAATGTCCCGTGTAGGAGATGAGAAAGGATAGGTTTATCTTACCTATGTTTTCTTTGCATTTCTACAGTATTAAGTTTCGATTAGGTCTGAGAAAGTGTTTCGTTTGTTTCCGCAGAAGCTTATCATTGACTCGACTATATTCTTATCATCATATTGTATTTATTTATGAACTTTAGTTTTCATACTTCATTTGTTCTTGTTATTAGTTGTCATTTGCTGCAATTGAGTTCAGCTCTTAGATGTATAAGCTTATGAAATGCACAAGTAATGGATGGGGCAATAAAGCCATAATCCCAGCCAATGAACTGCATCTAGGCAAGTTCATATACCTGTGCATAGATGAATGCACCTATGTAATATCTGAATAATATTAGCTTGGGGAAAAAGAAATCCATTATTATTTCGGTAGATGGCTGCACTGATAGATTTCTCGTAAAGTATCGATCAAACAATTTCCGATACTGTACGTTTACATACTGTACATTTCGCAGTAAAACAAATTCTTTTGCTGTTTTTTGTTTGTTGCATTCAGTTGTGAGTTACAGCGTGTGAAGTGAACAAAGAGAAAATTCGGTACATTTTACAGTTTTTCTTTGACAAAGGCGAAAATGCAAGCCAGGCGGCTAAAATTGTGAATGGTGTTTATGGTTCTGATACTGTAACAGCCAATTATGTGCAATTTTGGTTTCGTAGATTCCGTTCAGGAATTTTTGATGTTAAAGATGCCGATAAAGTCGGAGAAATGATCGAAGTTTGCCGGCAGCTGTTAGCAGTCGTAACATCGCCCAGGAGCTAAAAATCGACCATAAAACAGTTTTAAACCATTTACACAAAGCTGGATTCAAAAAGAAGCTCGATGTTTGGGTGGCACACCAATTAACAGAAAAAAACATGATGGATCGAATTTCCATCTGCGAAGCCTTGGCCAAACCGAATGAGATAGACCCATTTCTTAAACGGATGGTGACTGGAGATGAGAAATGGACCACATACGATAACCCTGTGCGAAAACGATCGTGGTCAAAAAGCGGTGAAGCACCTCAAACGGTGTTCAAACCAGGACTAACGGCCAGGAAGGTTTTGCTATGCATTTTGTGGGACTGGAAGGGGATTATTTATTATGAGTTGCTTCCATATGGCCAAACGCTAAATTCTGATCTCTACTGTCAACAACTGGACCGTTTGAAGATAGCGATTGACCAGAAATGGCGAGAACTGGCCAACAGGAGAGGTGTCGTGTTCCACCAGGACAACGCTAGGCCACACACATCTACAGTGACTCACCAGAAACTTCGGGAGCTTGCTTGGGAAGTTTTAATGCATCCGCCATACAGTCCGGACTTCGCACCAAGCGATTATCATCTTTTTCTTGCATTGCAAAATTTCTTTAATGATAAAAAATTGGAATCTAGGGAGGATTGTGAAAATCGACTACTAGAGTTTTTTGCAAATAGAGACCGGGACTTCTATGAGAGAGGCATTTTGAAGTTACCTTTAAAATGGCAACAAATCATACAAAAAAACGGTGCATATTTGACCCAAATCGGACAATCCGAAGCATGTTAAATAAAGTCCTGAAGTTCATATAAAAATAATGGATTTCTTTTTCCCCAAGCTAATATGTGAATTAGATTGAATGCAAGCCTCTAAAGTAGTCAAGAAAATTGGTTCGCTTGCATATGTGCAGCAAGAAGAAGAAGAAGAAGCTTTATTAGTCGTTCAGTTTGAATCACATCCAAGCGCAAAGCGCTGCATGCAATTGCATACCCAACAATCAATACATAACGTTTCCAAGTGTTTGTTACTTTATGCGTTCTATGCATGATTTTCTTAATGCATAGGCTTAGATCTACTAGCATGTCATGTTGCTTGCTTGTCTTTGGCAAACAAATATTATTGCAGGTAGAAGATTGGAAATTATTTTTTTTTTTTTCCTTAAATTTATCTTTTCGAGTCAATTGACGGTTCAAAGGGAATTTTTAAGCAGATATCAACGAATGACTGCGGCAGATAATTAAAGTCACATAGTTTTATATTTGTTGAATACATAAGAGACAGTTAGTAAAAATGCCTTTAAGCAAAACTTGCGTTTGAAAACCATTCTCCACTCCTTAAAGCATGAAGTTAAAGAAGTTTGAAGAACTTCATCCAAATCAGTCCAAATTTCTAATATTCTATTCACTAACGTCTGGAAATGGAAATGTACCTATGTGCACCTTAGGCTCAGGACGGCTCTTGCCTATCCGCCATCATGAGAAGCTGGACATGCTTCATTTACATTAGCAATGGCGCTTTGCTTCCATTTTTCAAAGATATTCATCAAAACGAATGGTATTTGAATAATTTTGCCAAAATTTAGATCGATAACCGCTGTAGATTGTTTGTTATTGGTGAAAATGTTAACGGCATAAAGGCGCTTTCTGTGTTAATATGTAAATGCCGCAAGCATTCATTTCTTTCGCCATTTTAGATATTGATAGTTTTTTCATTGGTCATTGTACCTCAAAAATTCCAGTTGTTTGAAGACCTTCTTCACGCATATAATAAAATGAAAAGGGATGGATGTTAATAAGACGGTTCTACGGGATCGCACGATATTTTGATTTAAACTGAAAAAATAAAATGCTATCGGGGGTAATACGAGCAGTCTCGAAGATTTCATGCAAAAAATTTTCGACTAGAAGACGATGAAAAAATTGGTTTGGTTCAATTTATTTTTTTTATAGTTTCAAGTTCGACGAAACTCCGACCCAAAATCAAAAAGGGTCTGGGGTACAGTTAAAAATAAATTAAAATGCAATTTCGCTTCGATTGCATACAATGGGAAACGTCACATAAGCAAGGAAACGGAGTCGTGACCTCGGTTCATATAGAGAGATAAAGGTTTTCTTTATCGAACTATTTCGGGTAAGAAAAAATTGATCCTTTATGGCAATCCTAAAGGACAAAAATCATCGATTGTCCCAGGGCAACTATTCACATCTCTTGTAAAATCGAAAAAAATGCTATTGTGCGCATGGCGGGTTTGAAAAGGAACCATCCACTATGAAGTCCTTAAGTCATCTCAACAATATTAAATCCATTTAATCAAAGTAATTAACACGGTTGTGGAAGAAAGATCATTTAGGGGCACAGGAAGCCAAAAAGTGATTTCGTTTCATGACAACACCTGTTTGCATGCAACAAACACAATCAAGGAAATTACCTTCAACTTGGGTTGAGAGCTTCGGCCCGATCATGGATTATTCTTTAGACTTGGCTCCTTCAGATCGATGCAATCATATTTGGTACAGCGGAGCGGTACCCGGTAGATAGCAATAGATCATAAATATTGACATTGAATATTTTAATTAGTAAGCTTTGTACTAAGCTTTAGTTTAGTTTAAATTCCATTAGATTTCAAAACTTCAGCTCACACACACATACACATTCTCGATGGCTGCCTCGGTATTTGCTACTCTGGGAACGCTAGCAATTATTAAACGGATAGAGAGACTGAATGAAGGACACGATTAAATCCATGAAAGGTCCCGGAACAATGTAAAAAATCTAATGTTTCTCACTATCTTCATATATAATGACTTTATCAAGTGTTATACTAACTTTTTATAGTTCGTAAAAAAAGTGCTTAAATGGCTTTAAAAAAAAAAAAAAAAAAAATCAATCTAGTAGACGATGACTAAAAAAGAAGCTAAGCGATGAACTGGCGAACTTTGGATGCATTTTATGCGTTTTTTGGCCATTCTGGACGAGAAATCTAAATCCTATTTAATTATTGTCCCGCATGTGGGTCTGATAAACATTTACACGATCTAATGTGAAATTTCGCAAACGGGGGTTCGTACAATAGACGAAGCATTTATTGATCTTCTTGAGTATATCTATACTTTCTTACGCAGCTGGTGATGTTATAAGAAGAACACACTTTTATATGTCAGTTACGTTTCCGAAGGCCTACTGCTTTATTGACGTTTTGCTTGTTTTTTATGTGCGATTATCATAAGTTAGTTGTCAAGCATTTTGATCTCTTTTTGTTTTATTTAGTTATTCATTATTTTTTATATGGATATTATCCGTTGTCCCTTGTTCGTTGTTTACATTGTCGCTATTTATAATTTCGTTAATTAATTTTTATACATAAGTACATGTTGTTATATAAACGAAATCGACGACCTATTTAAGCATCGATCTGATGGCTTAGCCTTAATAAATAAGTGAGGAGAGAGGAAATGTGATTGGCATTGAGGTGCTACGAATTAATATACTGACAGAGATCTGTGAGTGAAGTATGCGTGCAATCATAAACCTGAACTATATTTTTAAGTAAATATTTTTCTGTTTGACGTTGCTGGCATTGAGCGCAGTATAGTAAGCATAAAAGCTGAAGGCTTAGTCTTAAGAAACGAATGAGGAAATATGATTATTATTGACATTGTAATAATGTGCCATTGAGGCGCTTTGAATTAAAATACTGAGAGATCTTTGAGTGTAGTAAACGTACAATCATTAACTCGAAATATATTTTTAAGTAAATAATTTTCTTATTGACGTTGATTGCATTGCGCGCAATATGAAAAGCAAATTATGAACGGAAACTATAGTAATCATTTATAAATAAATAAATAAATGTATAGATAAATAAATAAATAAATAAAAAAATACAAAAAGATCTAAACATAACATTTCAATTTGCATCATTGCGAACTTGATTCAGATGACAGGTTTTTTTTTTTTTTTAATTTTATTTTTTTCGTTTCCTTTTATTTATTCTTATCGTATTTCGGGCATTCGTGACGTGAGAGGAGAGATGCTTTGAAACTCAAAGCTTGCTTATTTACATAGTATATAACTAAGTACCTATGTATCTTTGTACACCTACCTACCTGTACGTTTGAGAAAATGTACCGAAATGAAAACGAAAATAAATTTAGATTAGCAGTCAGCAAATTTTATCTGTACGCGGACATACAGTGGTGAATGATGACAACCATGATTGTGGGAAAAAAGCAAAAAAACACAAATACTTGTGGTTTCATCGTTTGATATTTTTCGTGGTCTACTGGGTAAGAAATAAAAGTTTTTTTTTTGTTTTCTTTGAAGAACTGTCATCCATTCCGCTAGACTTGAGTTGAAAAAATCTCAATTGAGCATATTTTCATTTTTTGAAGATTTCAAATATTTAAGCAATTTATGGTTTGAAGTAATTTTTATTAACATCGCTCACTTAATTCATTTCTTTTTTTCTTCTTTCTTTTCATTTTAAATGACTAAAGAGTTTCTTTTTGGTTGATGTTGCTACTTAACATCTTCACGACCATTGTTACGCAATCACGGTATAGTAATTTCATTATAGATTTCGTTACATCCGGGCATTGAGCAGGCATTTTAAGAACTAACAAGAAATTTGTGGTTAGACGGAGATAATTCTAAAATTTATTCCATATATTGAACAGTTAGTTACTGATGCAAAATACTGTTTTATAATTACAAAAATACAAAAAAAAAAAAAAAAGAACAAAGGATTGAATGCAGGCAATTCGTCAATAATTTACGAATAATCAAAGTAGATAGTAGATAGTTCTGAAGATGATGTGTGTGATACGGTTTCATTGCTTTTTTTAATGTTATTGCGAAAGTAGAAAGGAAAAACCACACGATTTTTCAATATTTGGCTTGCACACACTTCCTCACTTATGTCTATCACTAAGCACCATTGATATATATATATATATTATAGAAAAAAAATAGGAAACATTAGATGTTCGTTTATTTTGGACAACTTTCTCTGGTTTTTCATGAGATCGAAAGAGGAGAAAATAAGCCTTGTGAAGAAGACAGAGATAGGAAGAGCATAGATAGAATAGAACGTCAGATAGATAGATAGGCAGCCAGACAGAGAGACAGGCCGACATACAGAAAGGTAAAGATATTCAGGCGGACGGACAGACGGAAAGACAAATATTTTGATCGAAAGTTAGATAATCAGATTTTCGAATAGGAGCGTATAGACATACGTTCGAACAGACAGTCAGACAGACAGATATTCGAAAGGATACCCACTCAGGCAGACACTCGTTCAGATAGATATGTTGTAAGATAGACAGACTGCCTGCTCACTATGGAGCTTCCAAGCGCAGCGAAATTGATAGGTTATGGGGATGACATTGTCCTGATTGCGTAGCTAGCATCAATCCCGCAAATAGAGCTTAAGCTAAATAAATATGTGGCTATACAAGTTCAGAACTGAAATTCGCCCTGGCACTGGAAGCACTAAAACCATATTGGTGACGGATACCAAGGAGCCAAGAACAGAGGTGGCTCGGTACTGAATTTAAATCAGGGCTAACCTGAGATATCTGGGAGTGCAATTAGATACGAAAATAAAATTCGGGGAACGCGTTGAGCATTGTCAGTCAAAGCGACTTCTTGTAAAAATCATGCCAAACATCAGCGGACAAAAGCAGGGTTCGAAGGCTTTACACACTAAAATTATGTCAGAGTACCGCACGTCCTCAATGTCAGCCTTGGTATATTCGAGTAATACGTTTTCAAGGTCTCTGGAAGTGGAGATCATGCCACGTAATACGGTTAGCGGTTTGGTTGATGGACTAAAAAAGATGGATGAAATTTGCCAATTTTTTGTACGGTATATCTCGGTATAAAGCCACATGAAGGTGACATCTGAACACTTATCCATTTGCGGGACAGGGAAGGTAGGATGATTTAGTGAGGATCAAGAATCGTCGATGTTCCACCTCAAGGTAAAGTTAGAGCGGTTTCATGATCGGTTTTTTAACACCGGTGTAGGGCTATTAGTTGGCAGGGCGCTGCCACTACGAGAAAAGAAAAGAAAGATAGACAGACATAAAGCCAAGCAGAGAGAGTGATACATGGGTGTTAAAAATGAATGCATATATGATACTTTGTCATCTCAGCTATAGAGATACTTCTATGAGCCGCAAGCATTAGCCAAGTGTCACAAAGTCAACCAGTGAATATATATTAAAAATTCAAAGCATTATTATGTATAGCAATCAACGGCAAGCGTTGATCGAACATAACGCATATAATATCGCGCAGAAGGATACGCTCTCATTTAACAGAGGATTTTGCCGATTTTGCGTATTACTTGTATTATATATGGTTGCGGTGCTCCAAGCTTGCTCGAAATGCAAATGTAAATGTTTTACATTGGTATTGAGATCTATTTTTGTTTTCATTTTCTTTACTTCATATTTATGATATGGATAGCACGGAGAATACTTACACCTTCACGTCCGCCTGGTTCACCTTTTTGCCCTTTTGATCCCATATCACCTTTAGGACCTGGAATACCTGGGCGTCCCTGTAAAAATAACAAAAAAGCCAACAAAATTTTTTATAATAAAAATATTAAATTGTAAAAAAAACGAAAAAAAAAAAAACAGATGAAAAATTTGATTCATTAAATGTATAGCAAAGTTAAATGAAACTCTATAAATTCATTTAAAAGCCTTGGTTTTTTGCTTCAACAAATTTGTGTGGAGACCTCTCTGATCAGGCCAACAATCCCCCATCCCACAACTATTAAAATAACGAGAGGACCATATGTATGCGCATTTATGTATATATTGTTGGCTAGCGTTTAGTCTCCGCCAAAGCTGTATGACTGACTGTGTAACTAGCATGGCTATATAAAACCAAAGCAAAATATATATTATATGATGCTACTGATGATATTATACCAAAATCTTGTGCATGCATTCAGTAGCCAGATACGAACATCAGTGAATGCACACAACAACTGACCTAAAACAAGAGTAAATGGTTGCTGAAATTCTAAGCATTCGAATAAAAAAAAAAAAAAAAAAAAAAACGACCATTCAACACAACTTTGCCCTTAGCTATCAAACTTGCTTATTTCATATTTAAATACAGACGATTTTTTTCTTGTTTTTGTTTTTTCGGTTTTTTTACTTCATCATCCCCTTTTGTGTAGTTTTACCGAACATACCAGCAGCACAAATTACCCAAAGAAACTAAATAAAAAAGAACAAAAATGTATAAAAAGCGAACGGCGGCAGGAGCAGGAGAGAGACGGCGGAGTAATGTGAGGCGGACATTTGCAACATGGACATCAAGGTTGACAACTCATATTACTTAACTAATGTTTTTGTACAATTTTTGTGTTATTTTCCCTTTTTTGTTCTATTTGTTTAATGTGAATCTGTGTGTGTGTGTGTGTGTGTGTGTGTGTATGATTTTCTGTTAAAATTTGTTCTCATTTTTCTTGTTTTTATTCGTACAAAAGCAATTCGTAAAAGCAACGGTATGACACGTTTTTTTTTTTTTTGTAATTTTATAATAAAAAATCCTCATCATCATCGGCGCTCTGAACGCAATAATGAACGACGAAAACAATCTTCTTTCTGCTGTATAATACATTTACACATCGGTGTTCAGTTTTGTGTGTATTTATTTTTTATTTTTTTAATATTTTTTAATTTTTCCTTTTTTTTTTATTTTTATTTTTTTTTATTTTCTCTTTTTGATTTTTTGAAAGAATGAGAAGATAACGGTGATGGTTTGTACCATAAACATTATTATTGTATTAACATGGCGCGACATAAGTGCGATAGTTTCAGGGTGAAATGCATTAAAAAATTGCAAGCAAAAAAGAAATATAACGCTGACAACATCAAGTAATGCCTTTGTTGATCCTTCCACATATGCACAAACATGCATATTATGAATATTTTTCACGATTTCATATGAAAAAGTGCTTTTTATAATAATAATAATGGAGATTGTACGCGCATCGTACCGGCACGAGTAGTCGTGTACGTAAGAATCTTTGACTACCAAGTCAGCGATCATGGGTGCAAATCCCCGTGCGGTAAAGCTTACTTTGGTCGTAGCAGCTATATAAATATATTGAGTGCTCCGTCAGTAAAAACATTACATACATTCCGGTTGCTCACACTCCCACTAAGCTGAGGCTATCTCCCTACATATCTCTCTTCTTCCTCTGTTATCCCACTGCACTTTCTGACCGTCACCGTATTATACGTATAGGGGGCATCATTCCCTATGTGATTGGTCAAATTTAAAAAAGAAGCAAAAGCAAAAATGAAGAAATCAGCTCTTGTATGAATTAATGTCTAACTTAGTTGAGTTTATTTTTAAAAAAAAAAGTATATTTTCGCTTATGATGAGAGACATTACGGGGAGAAGATTACGGATTCGCATTTAATTACAACTGCTGTGGAGATTATCAAATGTGTTATGGCGATTATCAAATAAGCTTATTAATGTATTTTACGCAAAGAAAAGACTTTTTTTTTCTTTTTTTTTTTTGATTTTACGAATGAGCGACGTTGGTACCCGTTTAATATCAACTATTGCTTTTCTTAAAGGAAATTCCTTACATTGTATCAGCGGCTATCTACTTTGAAGATTACGTTCGTTTTTCTTCTGCTCTTTTCATAATAATAATAACCTAATAATTATAGTATAAGGCATTCTAATACCTCTCATCTATTATAGAAAGTCAATTTTAGAAACACCTTCAACAGTCCAGCCACAGTTCCTTGTGATAAGTTTTGTTTTCAATATTTACTGTAGTACTTTGCAAGTTTAATGCAACAATGATTTGAAAAATCTTGAAATTTGGATGAAAGCGGCGTCATCAACCGAGACTCGATTCTCAAGATTCCCAAAATTTGTTAATAAAGAGACTTTTTAAGAAAGAAGAGGAAAAGGGCTTCGAAATTTTTAACTTACCGAATGTCCCATTTCGCCAATTTGACCTGGTTTGCCCGGAGCTCCTATGGGTCCAGCTGTTCCCGGTTTGCCGCGACGACCACGCATACCCTTTTCACCTTTATCACCCTTCGTGCCATTCGTAGCCATGCCTTCGAAACCACCGGCGAAAAAGGCCTGTCCTGGTGGACCTTCAGGTCCTCGATCACCTTTCGGTCCGCTCAAACCACGCAAACCTTTTTCGCCTTTCTCGCCTTTTGCACCAGGCAGGCCGGTCAAACCGATCGAACCAGCTGGACCCGGTTCACCGTTCAAACCGGATGATCCATCATAACCGGATGGACCGCGGGGGCCAATTGGTCCTGGTGGTCCAGCAGGGCACATACACTGTGTAACATTTTGAGTTCCGAATGGCGTGTCAGCGTAAACGATCTGCCCTGGAGGTCCGGCTGGTCCCATTGCACCTATTTCGCCGGGTAATCCTCGATCACCTTTCAGACCTGTTGCACCGGGTGCACCAGAAATGCCAGGAACACCCGGTTGGCCGGGTTCTCCTTTAGCACCAGACGGCCCATGCGGTCCTTGATGGCCCTAAAATTATATAATATAAATATAATAAAAATGAATTTAATAAATATGAAAACACTTTTTCTTATTTATGTATCTATCAATCAAGTATTCATAAATAATATCAAGTTCTTGGCCAATTTTATTTTATGATGTGTTTACAGAAAATTATAACATAATAAAGGAGCGGGTGCCTTTTTCAAACTTTTCAAAGGGAAAATCGTTTAAATTCCAAATTCAATTTCAAGAATAGCAATAACAACCACAACAGCAACAATAGCATGATAAACAAATTTATGTTGCTTGCTCATGAAAAGCACATTCCCGACAGTAAAAATAAGAGCCGAAGGATATACAGAATGTGCTATTAACTAGCGTTGCATTTAAGCTGTATTAACTTCGCGTAAGTAAAGGCTGTAAGGATAAATGAGACGAAAAAAACGAAGTAAGATAGAAGGTAAAGGAGATAAAAATAAGTTAAAGCAGATTCCCTAGCATATATTTTAGTAAAGGTTAAGTATATTGTATGTATATACACACATATTTATTTAAATGTTTTACGGACGTTAACATCTCATAAGCCATCATCGTCATCATATGAAATGTGTTGGCGTAAATCCTTAACATACTTGAGTGTTTCTGCTAAGCTTTTCTATATATATATGTATATATATATATATATATGTACGTCTTTTTTTCTTCTCCTTCTCCTTCTCTTTCTTCTACTTTTTTTTTTTTTTTTTTGTTCTCTTTATTCACACAAACAAATGCCACACATTTTGACCCTTCGGCTTGGCAATAGCACAAAATTTAGCACACGCGTACATAATATGTAAATCAGTAGGTAAAATATGTATATTAGGTTCCATGTGCACATATAAGAATATCAGAATTTTATATATAAAATATATATACATATATATTAATATCTCCCTGCACTCTTATATATATTAGAAACATATAAACATACATAAAGTTGAGTATGTGCAAGAGTTGAAAATACTCTATAAAATCCTATTAAAAACAGACAGTTATCTGTGTGTATAGTAAGTCAAGTTAATTTTCAATAAACGTTTCTCTCTGTGCGTTGCATATAAACATGGGTACATAAATGTATTTGTATTTAGCATAAAGGTCCCGACCTAAAAATGTTCAAAATATTATTATAGCGAATGAGATTGGTACGTTTTAATGGCGTAGTAACAACAAAAACAACAATACCAATACCAACTACAATCTTTTCTAATGAATTATTAATGAGTTTACCGTATTCACAACTAAACTTTGAACCCACATAACATTACCTAGTATATAACATAACTCAATACATCTTATTATATACGTATATAATATAGGCAATATATGTAGATACATAAATATATATACAGTAGTAGCAGGACTTTATTAAGTAATTTTCATAACATGACTCTGTTGTTATGGTAAGGTTCTCTCTTCTTCTCTTCTATATTCCTTTCATTGTTGCCTCCTTTTTAAATATTTCGTTTTTCTTCTTTTGAATTTATTAGTTCGGCCTCTGCTTATTGTTTGTGTTTATTTCTTTGCATTTCATTCGTTATTATTTTCTATGTTTGTCTTCTGTTCGAATTCAAAAGTTTCCGGCGACATACGTTATTGTCCCTCAATCAAGACACATATTCGCATGTCGTTTATGTTAATAGTTGAATTTTCGTTCCTAATACTTGTATGCAAATCAACTGCATTTGTTTCGTTTGCTTTCACATTTTCTTGAAATGAAACTTTTTTGAATGAGTTTCTCTGTTCAGAGAAGAAGTAAGACAGCGTATATTGCGTAACTCGAATACACTGCTATACGACGGCTCGCTTCAGTGGATAGAGATCATTCAATTTTCATATACTTTTTATATATATTCGTTTTGTCAAATCGTTTGCGAAGCCCAGTAGGCAGCCTCATAGAGCCCACAAAGTATATATATATTCTTGATCAGCAACAAATTTTGAATCGATTTAATCATTTTCGTCTGTCTGTGTCTGTGTCTACTCGTCGGTGTAATGTCATTGTGTAATGTAAACATTCTCCTGGCCGCAAAAAAAAAGTTATAGACTTCAAATTGGTTAGGAACACTGGAAATCGGTATTGAAAATGGGCCAAGTTGGTCGAAGGGCAACTTCATAGTACCATGTGGGCTGAAAACACCTCCATCTTTCAACAGGAATAATGTATTGGTTTTTCGGTCATAACTCATCAATTATAGCAGATGAATGAACCGCGCCCATCCAATCTTATAGAATATGGAAATTTAGTTCTTCTAGCTCTCATTTTTTGGTCTCTCATAGGATAACGGCGATGGGTATAAAAAATTCGGTCATGAACGGATATAATCTTTGCACTTGTTCCGAGTAAATCTATTTTAAAAATGTTGCAAAACACATAAGAGAATTCTATTTGCTTTTTTTACAGATTTATTTTGCCACGATTGCTATTTCCATCATAATTAAAGTTTAAAAGTTATTTTTATATATAAAATCAGGAATGTTTGTGGCATGTTTTAGTTTTGGGATATATACGTGTTTTGCTAAATATATCTAAATATTTTCCCAGTCCCAACCAGTACACAGCTTAGAAAACCTAAACCTAAAACCAGTCCAATATTTTTGTTCGACTGCTTTAGAATTTTTATTATTAAAAAAAAAAAAAAACAAAAAAAAACAATAACAACAACAAAAATGTTGAGTCACATTATTCTTTCTAATATTTAATAATCGCAAGAAGAACTTCACAATGTGGATTTACTTTGCCATATAACCATACGAAGCATAAGTTTTAAGCTAAAATGTTATTTGACGGCTCGTAGACATCTAAAACATTTTCGAGTTCATCTAGCTAGAGCTCTGAAGCTTCGATCCTTTAACCTAAGTGGTAGAGTGATATTATAACTTTTTAATCTTAACTTGATCACTTCACACACATACAACAAGAAACTGAATATGAAGTAGCAATAAACTAGTTGTACATTAGAAGTTAGTTGCGGATTAGAAGTAGCGGGAAAAATGTATTTAGAATTAAGATTTGAAATTTTGAAAGCAGTTTTCTTGAAACTACAGGTTTTCAGCTTACTGTACCATCAGGCAATTGGTATCCAATTCTTTTGGAATGTGCAGAACATCAAGCCATATTGCTTGGACCAATTAACATTTTATTAATTCTATGATGGCTTAGTTTCTTTTTCAAAAAAACATTTCGATTGGTATATACATTGAGGATATATTAAGCTTTTTTTTATAAGGACTTGACATAGATTCCTGTCCACCTTGTTATTATGACAATCATTTCGAAATCACTTTCAGAATCGCTCTAAGCTTGTCATTAACAAGATTTCCAAGCCATTTTTGAGATGTTGGCATGAAACTCAGTACACCGACATGTTTCACCTCAAGGACGAGCCCTATTGAAAATAATTCGGATCGGGCGACTTTGTCAATCTTTTCCCCTATGAAACTTGATTTTTAAAAGCCATTACATGAAAAAACACAAGGCGTTATGAATAACTGTATTAACCGAAATGATCGCCATAACCGATTTTGATCGTCTTATTTATTTTTTAAATGAGAATTTTTCCGAAACATTTTATAATGATCACTACATATTTGTCGTGCTTTGCGGCAGTTACCTTGCTTCGCTTTTATTGTGAGAAATAAAAAATATATATATATATATTTACTCCGTGCATTACGATTTCTTTTAAAAATAACTTTAGTAAATTTACGAAAATTTGAACATAACCGCTTGGGAAATTTTTGTATTGTCACAGTTGCGAGCAAGCGGCGAGATGCTTTACCAAAATTGCAAACAGATTACAATGAATTTAATTATAATATATTTAAATCTCCATTTTAAGCTGCACATATTTTCTTTTCTGTTGTGATTTTCACTTTTTGTTCAATTATAGCAACAACAACAATATCAATAGCTTTCAATACATTACAGCAACAACTTAATAAAAATAAATGACAGTTTGCCGGGCAGAAAGAAAAAAGTTAAGAGAAAAAAAAGCAAAAGAAAGAAAGCGATAAACTGCAATGAAAAGTGCAATAAAAACGAAAGGATTCAATATTTTTGCTTATACGGTTGGTTGTAAACTTTTTGAAATAGTTGAGTGGAAGAAATGAATAGGCAAGTGAATTAAGTAAGAAAGCAAGAAAATAACAAAAAAAAAAAAAACATCAATAAAAGAAAGATTTTCTTATAAATCTTTTCTCCTATCCTTTATATATATATATATATATATATATATAGTGATCTGAAAGCGTATCACATCATTGCATAAAATTAATTTTAAACTTTCGACCTTATTAAGGATTGAATAACGATTTCTGGATAACATCTCTATTATATTGAGTGAAAAGAGAAATTATTATTAAAATACTCGTCATGCTGTGAAAACTCTCTCGTAAGAGGATAAATTTAAATTATATATTAAGTATGTTATTTATCAGAGTATCTTGCTAAAGGTTATAAATTAATCCTTTCATATTTATTTATTTATTCATTTATTTTTTTTATTATTTTTTTATTTTATTTATTTATTTTTTTTATACCATTGCTATACTCAGGTATCGTATTAAATGCGTTATTCGGTTTGTTTGTTTTTTTTTTTTTTTCAATTTTCTTTAACGATAAAAGCCACATTTGGAAAGGTCTGGCGAGAATATTTTAATTTCGAGCAATATATATGTAAAGGAGTAGTTAGATGCCGCATCTATTTATGGAAAGTCTTATGATATATTTAATAAAAGAAGTGCTTGTGTATTCTTCCTGCTTACTCTAATCTCAAATTCTCAAGTCGAAAGTTTGAAAACATGTAAAAAGATGAGCCAGGCAGGCGTATGTGTATGTAAACAATATTGCGTAAATGTATTGTAAAGCGTGTGAATGTATTATGGATACGTAAGATTGGCAGTTTTAGTTTTATGTGCTTTTCCTAAGCTTAAAGCTTAAGGGCTTTCACGTTACGCATATAGACAGACATACGTACGTACTTGGA